TAAAGCAGCATGGTTAGGAAAGGAAGTCTAACTTACTGGTAGAAATTTTACAGCTGCACCAGAAGTCGGGGGGGGGGGGGGAGTTACTGCACTGACTCATTACAAGAGAATGCCACTCTAAGTGATTCTTCCAGAAGTTCTTATAAACACACAAGTTCTGCAAGAGAAGTTTGTATTTGTTTAAATTACACAGACAAGACGTTACTACTGTATTTTGACCAGTATTCCTCAAGCAATCAACCTTGAAAAATTTTTTACTCCTAAATAACACATATATGATCACAGCACCACCAACACACCAAAATTAATGAGACCTGGATGCAACTTGTTTAGGAACAGGATATTAAACTCTAACTGTTCAATTCTATGCCTATTTACTGAGATGCCCTGTCATTCAATTGGACTGGTTCCATGCAAATGTGATACGGCTGTAGACCAGACATTTTACTGCAAAAAAGAAGTCTTGATTATCCACTGAGGCCAATCTTGGATGAATAAAAATCAAACTGAAGATGTAGGCTGACAAACAATTTGTAAATATAGTTTACCAAATGTTCAACTAAGTAATTTTTAAAATTGTTCATCATTAGTTCTGCTACCTAAGATTATTTATGTTGCCAACCACAAACCATAACTTTGTACCCACTGAGAAAGAAGGGGAGGAAACATAATATTTACAATGGACAATTTTCTCTCCATATTCAAAGCAGCACAAGCAGTATTCTTATTTCATTGTAGTTTGTGAAGCCCATGCTTCATTAAGCAGCCTAAAGCAAAGCTTAGGAGAACTTAGAATCTGCAAAACCCATGATTTAGTCTCTCAGAAATGTTAGCACTGACAATATATCTAGGACCAATTTTGGAAGGGCTTAATATACCTGGCTGTTTTGCAGAGCAACAAAGTATATTGGTACAAGTATTCAGCATCAAAGTATCAATCTAGCCCAAATACTGTATACCCTTTTCGATTTACACTAGTCTCAAAAATTGGCAGATCCTAAAATAAATTCCTATTCCAACATTCACGGTTACTGTGACCATGTCCTAACATGGATCCTTCTCATGTCAACACATCTTGTACACCACCCTGAAACAAAGGTGTACACCAGCTTCCACTACAGCAGGACTGCAAAATTTTATCTGTGTTCTACCTTTGTATCTGAAAAGCATTGGCCAAATTCCATTTTTAGTTTAATATAACTTTTAAACCCTTTACAAAGACATGCATGACAGGCTTAAATTCTGGTTCTCTTCAGATCAACCTGCAACCAGTCAGCATCTATTTAACAGCTGTTCTTTGCCAACCTAAATTTAAAATTTCCTCCTACCTGCATATCTCTGAATATTACTCAGTTTGTAGCTTTATATATTGTCATTTCTCCAAGGGGCTCAGTGATATTTTAGCAGCTTTCAGGCATGTTGGTTTAAGCCAAGGGATGGGACACTTGGTTCAAGGCCACCAACAGAGATGAACTCTCCAAATCCAAATTAAACCACCTAGCTGGGGTCTTCAATTTAAGGCTCAGTAATCTACACACACTTGGGAATAAGTTGGGTTGAACTTCATGTACCTTACTTGATAGACATGTAAAGGATTACACTGTAAATCTACTTCTCTAAGGTGTCGTGTTCTATGACCCTTCTAAAGTTTCTACACATTTCATAAAAATAAGCAACAATCTAGATTTGGAAATACTACACATGTATTCTGAGCATCTTCTACACAGAAATACTGATGAAAAACCTGAAGTGTCTGTGAACAGAGAAACATCTCCATTGCCAAGACAACCAGTGCCACTCCCAGATTTACCACATTCTACTGCCGTTGTTTCATTCCTGTGTGAGCCAACAGGAAGCTTTCGTTCAGTCATCTCGGAAACACAGATCTGCTAACAAAAGCAGGCCACGAATCTGGCACATTGCACCATGGCAAAACAAGGGGCATGACTATGAGCCTTGATTTCTTAGCCAGGTTGTTCCCCCCCCCCAAATATTTGAATCCTTTTGAGCCATAACTCAGCATCACCAAAACATGGACCCCTATTTAGTAGAGCAAAAACGTTCCTAACAACAAGGCCTGAAGTTCAACTTAGGCCTACCTATAACATTTTACAAATCTGAGCTTAAACAGAATCCTTCAACACAGCGGAATTTACAGAATAATGCAAACCCCCTTTGCTGCAGACTGTGGCATGGTGGTGGATAGGGCAGAGGAATCCTTCTGCCCAGCCATGCTAGCCTCCATCTGAAGAGTGATGACAGCAATGACAGTTCTGCTGATGCTGAACTCCCCATTCCACCTGATGGGTAGATGGAAGCACTGCCAGCAGAAAGCTCCAAAACAGGGTATTCCAGGGCAGGAAGGAGCAGAGCCATGTGATCCCAAGCAGGCCTGACTGCTACAGGCTGGTACAACAATATGCCTCCACTACACACACTTTCTACCCAGGTTGGCATGCACAGCAGGTAGCCTGACTGCTCCACTAAGCTCAGCCAGGCAATGACTGGGGTTACGACTGAACCCTAACGGGGGGAAGCTTTCATCAATCTGGAGCTAAATCTTTTAAAAAAGTTTCTACATCAGTGGTTCTTAACCTTTTGAGGGTCCTGGACCTCTCTGAGAATCTGATAAAAACTATGGACTCTCGCCCCATAAAAATGCATATAAACACATACACACAACATTTTACATACAATTTATGTTATTGCATTTGGGGAATCTCTTTTTGCACCTGCTTCACAGGCCACTGAACTCTTACAGACTACAGACTTACAGCCCCTCAGTACCTTGAAGAAAGATAAACCATACAAATGATTAGGGAATCTGAAAGTTCCTAGTTAAGGATTTACTTTCATAATGGAGCAGAATTTCAGAATGGCAACAGACAGTCCAATACTGACAGTTAATGTTGTTCTTAGCAACGCGACTTGTATTACAAAATCAAGCTTTATTAAGAAGTTACAAATAACACAGAGAATGGCTGAAGAAAACAAAAGATTTACAGGAGGGAGAAGAGAGATGCCCAACTGTTAAGGACAAGATCTGGGACCCCTGCCATCTTGGAAAATAAATCTCCCTTGCAGAACACACTACCTAGCCTGGATTTTCTAGTTACCCAAGAATAGTTCTCAACACAGAGATCCACTGTAATCACCAGAAATCCCAATCAAGTATCTGTACTAACAAATACTCTTCTCCTTGTACATATTGTATGTATGTATATGTATATACGTATATATAACATGTAACAGCATGAACATGCTCCCTGAAAAAGGGAATGCCTGAGGCAAAAGACAAGATGGACTGGTGGTAATTGAATTTTTCTTCAACACTAGCAACAAAACTGCATCTTTCACCACATCTAAAGGCTAGCTTACTGGGTGCAGGGCAAACTATGAATGGTGAACACAGCACTGTTCTCCAATACCTTGCAACCACTCCCTGCCTCCCCAACATTTGCTGCCTCACTCAGCCTAATTGTAGGACGAGCCCTGCCCCAAACCATAGACAGATCCTATTCCCCTTCTGCTTACCAAAGATTTTCAGTCCAAGTTCTCATATCCCTTACCAAAGTGAGCAAGCCCCCCTAAAATATAAAGCAGCTGTCAGAAGCCTGTACTTTGCCCTCAGAAATATTTCTCCCAACCAGTCCTCAGATTGGCAACTCCTCAGCTCACCTTGATAAATCACACTGTATAAGCTTCTTGTGCAGTTAAGGGCAGAAACAAGGGCATGCCATACTGAAAGTGTATTAGTAATACATACCCCAATCTATAAAAATAGGGATTATTTTATTTTTTAATCAAATGGTAGAAGAGTCTTGAAGGCTGGCTTGCACAGTTCCTAGTGAATATATGGAAGACACACCCACAAATTACTGTGCCATAATTCGTGCAGATACTAACGGAGAGGAAGCGTTTAAAAGCAGGGCTCTTCTTGGGAACACAAGAAACTATTTAATTAAATTTCCAGAGGGAATAGCCATGTTAGTCTCATGTGGCAAAAACAACAAAAAGCTTCGTGGTATCTTAATAGATGTCATCAGCTTTTAATGGCATCAGCTTTTAATGGCATCAGCTTTTGTGAACTACAGTCTGCTTCCCCGAATGCACAAAGTGCTAACCTGCTTTGCAGGTACATGGTTGTTTACAATTCCCCATCTCCAACTATGGAAAGATGTTCCTGCAACTCAGAATTTCACTTGATACATCTGATGAAGTGGATTGTAGTCCATGAAAGTTTATGCCATAATAAGCATGTTAATCATTAAGTTCTCACAAGGCTCTTTGCCATCTTCAATTACTAAGGAAAGCAAACTTGTCTAAATTCTTAAGAACGTGATCAGCCTGAAAGCGTGCAAGTTAACAGCTGAAAAAGAACATGTGCGGTGCACTGAATAATACACGCTGCTTGCTCTTCTTTCTACAAACCTTCAGGTAAACAGGTACTCTGTAAGGTATGTGTGCACATAACAGGCCAAAGTCCATAAATGCAAGCCTTGAGGATTCAGATGGAAATGTCAGATCCTATGCAGCACAGGGAGAGGAGGTGGATCAAGCAGGAATGCTGCTTAGGGTGTGACTGTCAGTGGAAGAATACTTATTTAAAGGTACCAACCCTCCCAGAAAAACACGGAACGGGGGCGGGGCGGGGCAGCAAGTAGACACACATTCCTGGATTAAGACCCACGATTCCTGGTCAAGGCTCCCAGGCTGGTTGCATGTTTCCAGACAACTGAATGCTGTTTGAGAGAGATTCCAGACTAGGAAACACAGAGGTCCATTTTTTGACGCAAGGTGTGAAGCAGCCCAAGCACAACCACTGGGTTTACTTCTGGAGTATGGTTTAGGACCACAACCCCAGCAAGTTTCCTTCCTTGGCAGGACAGAAGCGGGCTGGTAGTGGTGGCAGGATCGCCAGTGCCAAGCCAGAGGCATCAGGCTGACTGCGGGTTAGCTGGACCTGGGGGCTAAACCCACAGAAAGAGGCAGAAGACTATCCAAAGCCTGCAAAGGCAGCCGTGAAGAAGACCACTACACACGCCCACAAGATTATGGGCTGCTCCTGCCAGGTGGGAACTGGGTGCAGATGCAACAGCCATGGGAGGGAGCTGGAGCCCCGGCAACTGGCCCAGAAGGCGGGAAGGGAAGCGCCCAAGAGTCACCCTGCAGGGGCGGCTGCCGTGGCCGGGCGGAAGGGGGCGCCCTCTGGGGCTGGCTATAAGGAAGGTGTGGCTGCTGCTGCTGCCACCGCCCGCCGCCCTTCTCCCTCGCAACTCACCCACGCGGGGAGGTCTCCCGTGGAGACCGTCAGCCTGACGGCGCGCTCCTCGTCCTGCAGGAAGGCGAGCGCCCGGCCCAGGCGGGAGCTCTTCCCGCTCCGGTGCCTCCGCACCCAGAAGACGCACAGCAGGGCCACCAGGACCCAGCTGAAGCTCAGCCCCAGGTAGCCCAGCACGTAGACGGGGAAGATGAGCGCGAAGCTCCGCGCGAACTGCGACACCAGAGCGGGCAAGTCGACGCTCAGCATCGGCGGCGGCTCAGGAGGAGAGGCGGCAGCAGCAGCAGCAGCAGCCGGAGGCTCCGCGGGGTCCGAGGGCTGGGAATCCCCGCCGGGCCCCGAGGGGCTCGGCGGCGGCGGCTGGGCCCCTGCGCCGCTCATGCTCTCTGGGCGGTGGCGGCGGCGGCGGAGGAGGGCGGGCGCAGAGGAGGCAGGGCGCGGGAGGCACCAGCAGCAGCAGCAGCCGCCGCGGCTCCTCGCATCTCTCTCTCTCCGGCGCGCGCGCGCTCAGCCCCGCCGCTCCCGCCTCACAGTTGCTGAGTGACAACAACAATCGCCCGCCTCCCTCCGCTTCCGGGTTTCCTGAGGCGGGGGGAGGAGCAGGAGGAGGGACCCGCCTAGCCCGGAGCGAGCCATTCCCTCGGGAAGAGAGGGGGGGAAGAATGGAGGCGGTCCTTCGGAGACTTGTGGGACAGTCCATAGGCGGGAGGGGGACGGGAAGGAGCAGAAGAAACGGCTGCCTGACGGAGGAGGGGCGGGGCTCTGAAGAGAGAGGCCCCTCCTCCGTCTACCCCTGCCTCTTCGGTTCCCTGCCCCCTATTGGCCCACGTCACGTAATCGGAGCAAAGCCTCACCCCAAGGAGAAGACACCCCTCACGGCGCCCTCCCTACGGAGGACTCTCCAGCAAGTGGTGTCCCTATGACACCGCCCGCTTGCTGGTCAGCATCCAGGGAAGCCGCCAGCGCAGCACGCAGGCGCGCGCGCCCCAAAAAATCAAAACCGCCGTCAATTCCATAAAAGGAGACGGGACCCAGATGCACGTTATAGTTGAGCGTTTGAAATGTTCGTCAAAAGAGCATTGAGTCTTACGTGCATACGTAGAGCGTGACTTTTTATCTTACACATTCTATTGCTATGTGTGCTGCCTTGTATTCGTGCAAATTGTTACACCATTTTAGAGACCGGGATTGGAAACTCCTGTGGGGGTTGTAATATTTATCAGAGGTGATGATGGTCAGGCTGGATTTGTACTATTTCACACTGAATATGCATAGCTGTCAACGTTTCACTTTTTTAAAGGGAAATTCCCTTATTCCGAATAGGATTCCTCGCAAGAAAAGGGAAAAGTTGACAGCTATGTGAATATGGAGACTCCGGACTTGTCCACACCTGACTTTAATGTGCATTTGAAGCTGTTTGAGATCCTGTTTTAAGTAGCGTCACCCACATGCGCTCCCCCCAAAAAGCCCGCTCTTATCCCACTTCTTTCCCCCCAGTAAATTAGGTTTGCTCAATCCGGGGATAATCCCATAAATTTTTGGAAAATGTCCCTCTAAACAGCCACACTTGAAACAAAAGATGCATGGCTTAGGGTTTTGGGGTTTTTTCCCAACCCATGAGGCGCTTTACACCCAAGATCTGCTTGGTTTTCCTACCTTAGTGTTGACACTGACTATTCCCCAGAGGACAGAAAGTCAATTGGGATCTCCTGGTGCATCTCTGGGATATTTGGAATGAATTGGCAAGGGTTTCTGACTCCCTCCCAACTGGCTGACATTAAGACCAGCTAAAAGATATTCCTCCCTTAATTATATTGCTGAAACTAGGAACCAGGGATGCCAGCTTCAATAAAATATTGGGGGGGGCAGGTAAACTGTACCTCGCCTAATGAATCACAATACGCAATGCCCCTAGGTGTTGGATCCTATGCTAGGAACTCTTTTTGGGGAGGGGGAATCAGGAGTCAGGTGGGGGCTGTAAAATAATTATAAACTCTGAGGCTGCATACATGCCATACATGTGTTCCTCAGATGAAGAGCCGTATAGAAATTTAAATACAGACATACATTTAAAGCACATAAAGACTTCCCCCAAATAATCCTGGGAATTGTAGTTTGTTAAGGGTCTTGGAAATTGTAGCTTTGTGACAGGTAAACTACAGTTCCCTGGATTCTTTGTGCAAGTCATGTGCTTTAAATGTTATTTAAATATATGTCATGTACACAGCCATTAACCAAATTCCTGGGCTGAGTGTGTTGTCAGAAGCAGCCTGTTCCTTATGTTCAGTCTGTCCCACTGAGCCACTATTTTGCACTTGGCTCTGACTGGTGGATCATTCCTATGGTCTATTTATGTACATTCAACCAAATGTGAGTTCAAACAACTATATATATTTTCCTCCAATTTGTCCTTAGTAGGTTCCTCACTGTTCCTAAAGAATTGAGGCAACCCTTAAGTCCTAAATACACCTCTGAGTATAGGAGGACTCTGTGTGTAGGATTTTCTAAACATGCATAGGACCAGACCATTAGTTCTTTATGCAAGAGGATAGTTGATGTCACTTCAGCGAAGTTCACTTGTGTAACATGTCTAAGAGATTTGCACAGGTGTCACACAGGGACATATTATGACCTCGGGATATTTGAGAAGAGTAGGAAAGTGGTGGCTGATTTATTCACACTAGAGGAGAGCTGTGCTGCAGGCCTTTTTGAGACACTCGGGTCAAACAAATTAGTTGAGTGTATTGTAGGGAAGCTACTGTTTATCTGTAGACTTCGCCTCAAATTCTGCAAACTTTTTATGTGCTCCAAGCCCTCCCCATATATTGACAGGTCTTGGGATAAATCAAAATACTGTAAGGTGAAAAGCACTAGTCAGAGCTGCTCGAAATAAATCATCCCAGGAGAGCATTTTCCCCAGTGGATTGTTGTCCAGCTGCTCTTCGGATACAATTTCCCGTCAGACTTTTTTTTGGTCTGACTGTTAAATATGTCAATTATAAGTCCACTGCCATCAAAACTGATGTCCATCTTCTGCCATGACAATTGTTTTCTCCTAGGTCTGCAATTATACTGCCTGTTTATTTTTATCTCCCTTTATATTTATGTATGATTCTCTTGGATGTTAGATAAAAAACCTCAGTCTTCTGGGATGGCCCTTAGTAGTAATAAAAATGGGTTAATTGAAATAAACTACCAGCTGCCCTATAAATTCTGTCAAGGTCTGCTCCTTAAGACTAGAGCCAGATTCTTGTTTCCTTCATGACTTGTAGTACCATTGATGTATTAAGACTGAGATGGTAGAGGAGCAACGTAGAATGTAAGCATGGGGTGGGTATACATCATTTCATATTTTTTTCATTTCACTTTTAATTTGTATACTGCCTTTTTATTTTATTATACACAAGGCGGTTTACACATTTGAGGTCCATTTGAAGACAAACACTTAGAATTAAAGCATTCAGAGCCAGGGTAGACATTTACTGCAACCTCCAATGAGTCAGGTTCCATTGTGGAGGACATACCTTAATAGCCTAAATTCTGCTTAGGAACTTTTGCTTATATTGGACATTTGTATTCCAAATTCCACTCGGACACTGAGGTCCAGCACCGAGGGCCTTCTGGTGGTTCCCTCACTGCAAGAAGCCAAGTTACAGGGAACCAGGCAGAGGGCCTTCTCGGTAGTGGCACCCGCCCTGTGGAACGCCCTCCCACGAGATGTCAAAGAGAACAACAACTACCAGACTTTTAGAAGACATCTGAAGGCAGCCCTGTTTAGGGAAGCTTTTAATGTATGATGCATTACAGTATTTTAATATTTTCTTGGAAGCCACCTAGAGTGGCTGGGGAAGCCCAGCCAGATGGGCGGGGTATAAATAATAAATTGTTGTTGTTGTTGTTGTTGTTGTTGTAATCTAACGCATTGCACACTTCCTCAGACATAATGCTGTTGTAGACATTATTCTAATGAACTTTGTATATATTGTTCTACTTTTATTATGAGTTTACAAAACTCAGGCAAAAATTTTTTACTATTAAATGTGTTTAATAGTACAAGAACTGAACTGAGCTCAGTCTTCTACACACAAACAAAAATCGCCCCCTGATTATCCTCCTCACAGTTTTCTTAATTTCAGCAGTATAATTTAAGAGAGGTGTGGCAGAAGTCATCTTGTTGTTGTCATTACTAAACAGCTGGAAGTAAAAACAAACAAACAAACCTTTGCTGATTTACTGGAAATCACCCAGAGATCTACTGCAGAGACAGATCTATCTTCTACCTACCTCAAGCTAAGCCATTTTGTGTGGAACTGTAAAAAAAACACATGCTCAACATGGATATTGGTCTCAGAGGGGTGACCTCCAAAACTCACCCCAAGTGAACCTCATGTTCTGCTGTGTTTTAACATTCATTTATTTATGTAAAATGTGCTATGAGACTAAATCAAGCATCTTCCAGATCAGGCAACAGAACTCAGCATTTATATAGCCCATTTTCCCAGAGCTAAAAATATATAATTGATAAATCTATAAAATACATCCATAAAAATAATGCTTTTATGGATCTTTTGTTGATTTCATCCTTTTATGTTGCACTCTGCCTTGCTATATTTTTATGATTATTTTATGGATTATTTAAAATTAGTACATAAATAATATTCCTATAACTAGCAGACAGTAAGATTCTCCCCATGCCTGGTCTGGAAGCTGCAGCTAATACAGAAAGCTGTAGCCAGACTACTCACAGGAGCGGGTTACAGTACTGGCAACATATTACTCTTTTGCTGAGGGAGCTGAACTGATTGCCGATTGCCAACTAGGTCAGGTTTAAGTTTTTTTGTGTTAATTCACAAAGCCCCAAACAACTTGGGCCCAAGGTACCTTACAGACCTGTTTGGTTATGCTGCACATCATCTGCAGGTATCTTCTTATGGGGTACTCCTTGTGGTCCCATATGCCCCTGATGTTCAGTTGACTTTTACCAGGGACTGAGCCTTCAGTGTGGAAGGCCTTGACCTGTAAAACTCCTTGCCAGTAGGAGTCCTGCAGGAGTCATTATCTGCTTTTAGATGTCTTTTAAAAACTGCATGTTTCAGCCAAGTCTTGGGGATTACGGTAGGTTTTTTAAAAAAGCAACCAGTGTTTATTGGCATGTTACTGAATCCCGTCCCATGTAATTATTATTGTATAATGTTTTTATAGTTCTTATGAAAGTGCGGTTTATAAAAATGTAAATAAACCAAAGAGACTGGGCATGGAGGGGTGGGTTTGACAGAAAACTGGCCTACCTAAATTGACTTCCGGACTCACAAATCACATATTAACCAACACAGTACGTGGACTGCAGCCCACGCTACAAAATGTTTCTTATGAATTGGACTATAGCCTGCGAACGTTTATGCAGTACAGTAATATACTTTTTGGCTTTTAAAGTGTCACAAGACGACCCTTTCCTACGCCTCAACTGTTCTTCTAGATGCCACAGTTGTTGTGAAGGGCGGTACCCCAAAGCGGATGTAAATCTCAGATCAGCTGAGGAGGACGGGTTGTATCCTCCTCTCGGCTCAACAAATGATCGATCTGATGCCCGGGGCGACAATTGTATTTGCATCAGTATCTGTGTCTGTCTTCTTCTTCTTCTTCTTCTTCTTCTTCTGCCTTTATGCTAGTATTTTTTAATGCACAAGCGTGAAAACACATAATTCGCCTTGCAGATGGTGGAACAACATTAGTTTTTTGAAAGTTAAAAAAAAAAGCCGGAGAGATCTATTTCTTCTTCTTCTCTTAAAACGATGAAGAGCCTTATTCTGCCATTTCAAAGAGTTTTTTCCCTGCTTCTATCGCTGCCGAAAAAGAAAAGGTCGCTCCGGCTATCTTTTAATCTCCTAACCGCCTCCCTCCCGAAATTGCAATCAGCGCCTCCTCCGTGCGCGCAAGAAGGAAAGGCAGGCGGGCGGGCAAGCGAGCTTTGACTTCAACTCCCAGAACCCCCTGTGCGCTTTCGTCCCGCCTTTAAACCCGGGTAGCTTTCGTTCGATTGGCCCACCGAGGTCGACTTTTAACCTATCGGCTGTGACCTTGCTCTACCTCCCTGTTGCTAGGCGGAACTGGGACGCAGTTGCCTAGGTAGCCTAACCTAAGCTGCGGCCTGCAAGTTTTTCCAGAGCCCGAGGGGAAGCTGCGGGCGCCGTCGGGGATGCTGCACCTCGGGGCGGTTGCGTGCTGTTATGGAGGGAGATAAGGTGAGCTGCCCGTCTGTGTGGGGGCACGAGGGGAGGAGGTGGAGAGGGTCGGTGGTGTAGCGTAAATCTCGCCGGGAGAAAGGCTGGAGGTGGAGGTGGGAACGGGGGGCGCAGCTTTAAAAGGGCAAATCAAACTCTTAGGCTGCAAATATATCTGGGAGCAACATAGCAGCAGTTAACTCAGTGCGAACACGCCTAGGAATGGGCTGCAAGTCTCGTTGGAGAACTTCAGCTGGGCTTGCTGCTTAGTTAGGCACGCACAGAATGGGGTTTCAAATACAGTGGTACCTCGGGTTAAGTACTTAATTCGTTCCGGAGGTCCGTACTTAACCTGAAACTGTTCTTAACCTGAAGCACCACTTTAGTTAATGGGGCCTCCCACTGCTGCCACGCCGCCGGAGCACGATTTCTGTTCTCATCCTGAAGCAAAGTTCTTAACCTGAAGCACTATTTCTGGGTTAGCGGAGTCTGTAACCTGAAGCGTATGTAACCCGAGGTACCACTGTACTTGGATAGCTTGTCACAGAGATGATGGGGATCCTCCACAGGGAGAAGGTTTCAAGCAGTGGGTTAAAGCAGTGGGCTTGGACCAAATGGCCTTTGAAGCCCCTAGCAAATCTGGGACTGATTTCTTCATACTTCCCTGGGAGTGAGCACTGCTTGAACTTTGTTGTTTAGTCGTGTCCAACTCTTCGTGACCCCATGGACCAGAGCATGCCAGGCACTCCTGTCTTCCACTGCCTCCCGCAGTTTGGTCAAACTCATGTTCGTAGCTTCGAGAACACTGTCCAGCTACCTCGTTCTCTGTCGTCCCCTACTCCTTGTGCCCTCCATCTTTCCCAACATCAGGGTCTTTTCCAAGGAGTCTTCTCTTCTCATGAGGTAGCCAAAGTATTGGAGCCTCAGTTTCAGGATCTGTCCTTCCAGTGTGCACTCAGGGCTGATTTCCTTCAGAATGGATAGATTTGCTCCTGCAGTCCATGGGACTCTCAAGAGTCTCCTCCAGCACCATAGTTCACTGATGCTCAGGATGTCAATATTTATTCTTGCCATCTCAATTTTGACCACATCCAACTTACCAAGGTTCATGGTCCTTACATTCCAGGTTCCTACGCAATATTTTTCTTTACAGCATTGGACTTTCCTTTGCTTGAACTTTGGTGCACCCTAAACAGGTGTTTGCTGGAAAGTAAGCCTTGCTGTGCTCAGTGGGACTCGACTTCTAATAGGTGGTTGAAGGATGCTGTCCTGGTCATTGCCATTTCAAACGGGAAGTCGGAAGGTGATGAGCTGCACACTCCTGAATTTGAGCACGGCAAGGTGGTTAAACAGTGTTGGGTAACTGTCCTGCCTTGACTGTAGTTCTGCAGCCACCAGGCTCCCAAAACACTTTGGCTGCTGCAGCTGGTTTTCTAGCCTTCTGAACCTCTTGTCTTCCCTTAAACCTGGACTTGTGCTGGAACAGGGCCCCACCCCCACTGAATCTGCTATTGAGGGTGAAAAGATGAGCTCCTAGAATGTGAGGAAGGGGGAGAAGAGCTTAGTTTCTGCACTAGCAGCCAGTGTGGTGCGATGGTGCCATCCTCCCAATAATGGCACAGCTACAGCTTACCTGGATGGGGCTGCAGAGGGGCAGAGCAGGTGATGAAGTTGGAACTCCATGGATGCACCAGCAGAGTTGGCCAGTACTCCTGGCACTGTGTCCATGCAACCTTGATTTTGCTGCTGCCCCATCCAGGTAAACTGTAACAACACTGGTGTTGGAAGGGAGGCTCCGTAACTGCGCTACCACACCAGCTGCTACTATCTCATTGAAAATTATCTAGTTTAATAGGTTTGAATGACTATGAAGATTTCACTATTGGTCTCTGCAGTCCAAGCAAACTCCCTCTATAATCTCCCGTCATTTCCAACTGATAGCATTGTAGTTTGAGTGCTTGTTCAAAAACCTTGACCAAATCGTAGTTTTATTTATTTATTAGATTTGTATACTGCCCTATGCTCTAAATACAGCTCTCAGTTTAAGATACCTCTCCCCACCATTCTTTTTGGTCTAGAGAAGAACCAAAGATGACACTTGGAAATCAGATGAACTAAAGAAGCATCTTAAGGTAAGATTTATTTGTACCTGATGGCAATAGCAGAGGTGGCGGCCAGAAGAGTTGAGGTGAAGTAAGTGGTGGAAGCTCAAGAGGCCCGCCTCTCTGCTTGTGCTGCCAGTAGGACACCCCTGAGTTTTGGTGAGAGGGATGTGTGCTGTGTTGCACCTAGGATGAAGAAGATGAGCACCAAGGCTTTGAGGAACACTCCCCCTGCTGAGTTGGGTGAGAAGGGAGTATGTTCCAGCGCACAGTGTTGCAGCTTGTCTTCCCTGTCTCTGGGGTGGCCAAGACTTTGAGGAGTGCCCTTCTCTCACTGAGTTTTGGCGAGCGAGGGAGCATACTGGTTGTGGTGGAAGTGGAATGGGGAGGCCATGACTGCGGGGTTGGCATCAGAAGGCTGACAAAATGGAACAGGCTGCCCCTGAAAAGGTGGGTCTTCAAAGACAAAAAATTGGTATACACACACACACACATATATATGTATATATATATATACATACAAACATACACACACTCACATATATATGTATGTATATGTGTGTGTATATATAAAAAATGTTACTATTGCGTTTCTTGTTTCCTTCTTGAGGTGTCTCGATCAGATAGTCAGTCTGAAGACGGGAGACATCGGCAGAGGAAATCACGAGAGGGTGACAGCAATGATGCTGATGACTTGCCAAAGGATCAAGAGAAGGTCAGAGTGAAATCAAAAGAAAAAGCAGGTGAAAAAGTGAGACTTATTAAATCGAGTGACATAAGACATAAGAATGAAAGGAAAGAGAAAGGAAGAGAAAAAGATCATCCCAGAGAACACGAGAGAGAGAAAATTAAGCTAAAACATGTCCAAGAAGAAAAACATAACACTGGGAAAAGTGGTGAGAGACACAGCGGCAAAGAGAGAGAGAGGAAGCATAAGAAAGATGACCCCAATCAAACACTGGTGGAAAATGCTATGGAGGCTTTTGGGGAAAGAGATAAAGAACATTATAGAAGAAGAGACAGCAAGGATCATGCAGGTGGGATGGTTTGTTCACTGTATGTATTTTTAAAATAATGCTTCAGAAGAAGGTGAAAATGGGCTTCAAAACTCTTGCACAGGAGGCATGGCAGTGACATGGATTGCAAGCAGTTCTACACAATGTCTTTTTCTTTTCATCTCCTACTTTGTAAAGATAGTCTGTCTTAACAAGATGGCAGACCTAATAGACTAGGGAGTTTCCTCTCCATAGGTATCTGGGCTTTTTTTCTTTTAAGCTCAGTTTCTTTTTCAGAGATGCTTGCTCCCATGGGAGTGGTCTTCCTTCCAATTCAATTGGGTGGAATCCATCAGTACACCTATGTATCACTCTGTCTATTCCTCTCAGAGGTGAAGGACATTTCTTTGCTCCCTCCTGTGCTTACAAACCCATATAGGGAGGCTGCAGGATCCTCCATTCCACACACACACACACACACACACACACACACACACACACCCTTCTCTAGACATTGCTTGTCTTTTGCTTCATAGGAAGGAGGGTATTTTCTTCCAATGCCTCACATGATGGATGTCCTAGCGCAAAGAGATTTGAATAATAATAATAATAATACCTTTATTGTCAATGTATCTCAAAGATAGATTTGGAAACCTTGAAAAAGCTAGTTTGTGCGGAAAAGTTAGATGATACTTGTGTGTGTGTTTTTAACATTTCCAGTAATTCCAGTAATCCCCCTAGTTTGCTATTGGTTATATACTGCGCACATTACTTGAAACAGGCTTGGAATTGAAGTAACAGCCCTGAAATGCTTCTTGCAGAGATGTAGCACATACTGTATTTGTGTTGTATGTAGCGTAAGAGACTGAAATGTACTGAAGATAAAACTTCTTAATTTTATAGATGTGATTGTGTTTTAGATCACCCAAAAGTAAAAGATGAAGAAAGAGAAAGAAAACACAGAGAGAGAGAGGTAAGAGAAGGTAAAAAAATAATCCTTGTTCTTAAAAAGAAAAAGAGGGGAAGTGTAAAGAAAAAGAAAGAAAAGTTAGCAACTCACAAACAGCAAATATGGTATGCTCCCCCCTCCTCAAAAGTACCTTAACAGATTGATAATTTCTTCATCTCCTTGAGTTTTTCACACACACACCCTTTTTGCTCTTCCCGCTTCTCCAGCAATGTGCCAGAACTATTCTCAAAAGAATGCTCAGCACAGGCTTGTTGTTGTCGTTAGTAGTAGTAGTAGTGGTATATTTCTGAGCTACAAAATTGTTAAATTTCAATTTTGGTTCTTTAAAAGAAATTTTAAAATTATTTCTCTTCAGAATGAAGAGAGCAGGGATACTTTGGGTGAGACACACAGAGATGAAGAACGTGAACACAGGCACAAGTCACACAAGGAACGGGACCCTGATAAGGAAAGAAGAAGGCATCGAGAGAAGAAAGAGCATGAGCTCTTAGCTGTAGAAGGAAAAGAGAAGTTTTTGAAATTAAGAAGTTTCACATCTGTGAGGGATGGGGAAGAAGGGCACACCTCCAGGAAACATAAGGAGCAGTCTCACTATGAAGACAGACACCGTAGGGAGAACAGTGAAAGACAACACAGAGAAGAAAACGAAAAGAAGAAGAAAGACCACAAGGTTTGCTTTACATTGGCTTTAGCTTCCTAGCAGTGCTGGCTAATATAAAATTCAGAAATTGTCAGATTTTCCTTGGAAATCGAATTTGTGTCAGAAGCGAACAAGATATGCTGAGAAAATATCAAGAAATACTGTGGCTTGAAACAAAAATACTATATTATGCTTTTCCGCAATGGAAAATTATTCATTAGAAGCCAAAAGTCAATAAAAGAATTGATTGGTTTTGTTACGCTTTCACTGTATATGTATGCCGTCCTTCTCTCAAAGAGTTTAGGGTGGCAGCATACATTGGATTATTCTATTTTATGCTGAAAAAGTGTGAAGTTTGCTGCTTGCAAAACATGAGATAAATTTGATGTGAGGGTCTAGTTTTTGAAGTAATCTACATTTCATTTCACAAAGTAGTGAATTGCACAAAATGTTATGTGCTCTTCTTTCATGGTACACATGAGCTTTATTTGCAATATGGAGAGTAAGTCAACTTTTCAGGAATTTCTCAAATTTAGCTAGTTCTGTACGTCTGATGTACACTTTCCCACAACAGAAAGCAGCAGCTAAACTAATTAACAGGCTAGTCCTCCCATGTTTACTTGAAAGTAATTCTCACAAAGTAACGGTATTGTGCATATAATAACGATATTATATAGCCTTTATGTAGACTAACAGTTGCTTGTCACGTGCCTGTGTACTGTGTTTGCTGACTGTGTTTTCCAAACATATGACAGCCATACCAATCCATTTTTGATCTTGAGTCCATGCCTTAGGGACCCAGGTCAATGATAGACCTCCATGGCATGTTATTTTATGGCATGCTTTAATTCTTTTTAAGGAGTGCTGTGAATACAGCCCTAATACAGGCATTGTTTGCATAATATATGATGCCTATCTGGTGAATGCTAGCAATAACCTTAATCGTTGCTAGTTTTGTCTTCTTTAAAAATGAAGCTGTATATACTAAGAGTCATTGATATAAGACAGCACGTGCACCTGTTAATGCATATAAGGAGATACTTAGTCGTGTTGAATGCTGCAAATCATTGTATTTCGAACAATATATTTTTCAGCACCGTGAACATAAAAGCCAAAGCAAGAGTTCAAGGCATGAAGCTGAAGCAGGCCATCCACGTGAAAGGTGGGCTCTGTTTAAATAAGTAAGAGTAATCCTCATTGGGCACAGTGGAGCTTAAAGGTAAAGGTAAAGGGACCCCTGACCATTAGGTCCAGTCGCAGACGACTCTGGGGTTGTGGTGCTCATCTCGCTTTATTGGCCGAGGGAGCCGGCGTACAGCTTCTGGGTCATGTGGCCAGCATGACTAAGCCGCTTCTGGTGAACCAGAGCAGCACACAGAAACGCTGTTTACCTTCCCGCCAGAGTGGTACCTATTTATCTACTTGCACTTTGATGTGCTTTCGAACTGCTAGGTTGGCAGGAGCAGGGACCGAGCAACGGGAGCTCACCCCGTTGCGGGAATTTGAACCGCCAACCTTCTGATTGGCAAGCCCTAGGCTCTGTGGTTTAACCCACAGCGCCACCCGCTTCTTCTGAATAAATACAGTGGACCCTCCGAATATGAACTTAATTCGTTCTGGGGGTCCATACGTACCCCAAACAGCCCACAACATGAGGCGCCACTTCCGCGCACGTGTATACACTTCCAGGTTTGCCGCGATCGCAACCCGAAAGTTACATTAGCCGAAGGTAACATAACCCGAGGGTCCACTGTATGTATATGTTTCCTGCTTTGCAGGGAGTTGGACTAGATGACCCTCAGGGTCTTTTCCAAATCTACGATTCTATGATTTTATTTATTTGTGCCTGGCATTCTTTGTCTCCAAAGTGTGTGCAAAGGCAGATTGCTTACCCATCTGTTTCCACAAGTTAGAGCAACAAGGGTGTTTTGATTGCTTGTGTCCTGCCTTCCTCCTTTTGATTAATTTTCCAGGGGAAGAGGGGCCTGAAAAATATATTTAAGGCAGTAATCCTGTATGCATTTTTCTGGGAGTAAGCCTCCGTGAATCCAGTCACACTTACTTTGAAGTAGACATATATAGGATTGCACTGTAAAACTCCTAAAATAGCCAACATACATATTTTGGAAGCATCATCGTATATTTTTTAGATGATGCGTTATAGATTTGAGGGAAATATTTTCAGTTCCTAGGCACCAGCTTCTTGGTAATTTATTTATTTGCTTAGACATTTTGTAATTGTGTTGGATATGTTTTCCAGCCAGACAAAAAGCTGTCTGACTTCTTTTTGATATCTTTTTGATTCCCTCGGGACCCTGTTTCAAACAAATTAAAGCCCGCCACGGGGTTACATGCTTCTTCTTCTTCTCCTTTCCTTTTGAACTGCTTAGCTCTATTCTTGGGATAAGAGCAAGTGCTGCTGGCATCTCTTTGTTAAGCTTGGATAGGTCTTTATATTTAACATAGTGAGAAACTGCTTTATGCGAATTCTGCAATGAAATGACGGTCTTGGCCATGAGCGTTGGGAGATATCTTTTAGTTATTTGGAGTGGGGAAGATTTAAGTTTTATTTCATGAGTTGTAGGATTGTTTTAGAAATCCATTCTTTAAGACTTGATGAAATGCCATTCACATTTTCTGCTTACTGTAAGTGAGAGCTGATCCAAAATTTGAAAGCTGCCAAACCTTTGTAAGCAAGGATCTTGTTTGATTTTCTGCCATCAGAAATATATGGATACTTTGGAAAGGACGGGGTGAACTCCACAGTACGTCTATTGTTCCTCAGTATATTCTCTCATCAAAAGCAAATAATTTCTGTGTTGGAGAGACATTACAAAGGGACAAGGCATTGTTATGAAAAGTAGTTCAGTTCTGTTCTTATAGGGGTTCACAGATCTCACTATGTGAGAAAGTCACATGTTACAGTGTAAGTGGGAAAAGATTCAACATAAATCACTTATCATTACCCCCCCCCTTCCCAGCATAGCTTATTTGAACAGGTGTAAAGCAGTTCTGAGACCTTGTTTTCCACAGAAATAGTGTTTGCTTGGTAGGCACTCCTTTTAATTCTGTGTTTGGTGTTTTCTTCTCATTATAGTGGTACAAAAGAAAAAGTAAAGAGCCATGTCAAGAGTGAAAAAGACGCTACAAAACGAGAAGTAAGTGGTTTTATTTGGAGTGTTCTAATGCAAGAATATTGTAGGAATTAGTAATAAACCAAAGGAACAAGAACCTAAAATTTAGTGAAGAGTTACAAAGGGGGACTCCTAATATAAGGCACAGCCACAGCCTTTTAAATCATGTCAATCTGAATAGGAGAATTAAGTATATACTTGTTTTTCTTCACTTTCAACTAATGGGATTGGAAGGTGTTTATCTTTATTTGAATTGTGCTTATACTAAACTTCTGTTCTATGTTGTTGAAAGTTTGCACCCAGTTCTAAGCTTGGTCTTCTGCATGCTTACATATAAGTGAGTTCTACTGAGCTCAGTGGGCTTTTGCATAAAATTGCAACCTTTTGGCCCGATCCTATGCAGGTCAAGTCAGAAGTAAGATACATTAAGTTCAGTGGGACTTACTCCCACAGTAACTATGTATTGGATTGCAGCCTTAGACACATTTACATGGATCATGCACAAAACGTATCGTCAGAAACTTCTCATGCTGTCTCTCTCCCTGGAGAATTTTAAAATGCTCACGATTATTTATGGACGTAGACAAAAAAAAATCTAAAAATGATGTAGTATCTGACTGACTGCAGTTTTTTAGTCTTTTAGTCAGGGGCTGAGTGTTCCAGAGTGTACACCCAATGAAGACATAAAATAAAGTTTAAAAGGGAAAAAAATACTATAGCCTTTCACACATTTCATAGATTACTCAGCACTATACAGGCCGCAGCATATTAGAGAGCAGGAGGCTCATCATGGGAGAGACATATTGGTAGAGCAACTTCCAAAAGGATAGTTGTCTTATGTTTGTTACCGTAAATACAAAAAAAAAGTGTGTCTTGTTGCATCTTGAAAGTTTGATTGTGGCATAGGTTTGCCAACTTTGTCTGATGTTGTTGACATTGGACACGGCGAGAAAACAAAGTCCTAAATAAATATAATCAAGGAATATATTTAGCATGCCTGTTTGTAGTGTCTGATATAGTCAGGATTTGGGGTGGGAGTTGTTCTACAGATAAAATACATATAAAGTACAGTGAGGCTTTTCTAAGACTGAGATATTAACATGTGAGGAAGGGCAGCCTTGGAAGTTGAAAGCATAATATAAGAACTAAGTTGTATTATTAGAACTCCCTGCCACATTTCAGTGCTTTTCTCTTATGAGTTGTTTTATCTATTGATATGTTAGCGCCACAAAAGTGACAACCTGTCAGCTGTGGGATCCCATCGGCAAAGGCTATCAAATGAAGAAAGTGGCAATGTAAGAGCTGCATATTATTACGTTCATTTTTTAAGGAGCACAGCAGTGCCAGTTAAATCTCACTGGTGAAATAAATTCCATTAATGTTTTCATTTGTACAGTTATATTGTGATTTAATTCAGTTGTTTGCATTTTCTTGCTAGAAACCAAATAAGGACACACCTTATCCAGATGCAGATTATGATAATGATTCTGTGAACTATGAAGATGATTTTGAAGTGAGTGCAAAGGAGTATTTTTTGAAGAAGGTAGCGGTATCAAATAAATGTAGCTGATCCACAAGCAGTAGGAATATAGAAATCTAATTGCAATGACTTCACAGCGACTTAATTCTTTAAATATATCATGGGGAGATGCTTTGGGGAGGGGGGGGGATACAGTCGTACTTTGGTTTTCGAACAGCTTAGTTTTTGAACGTTTTGGCTCCTGAATTCCACAAACCCAGAAATGACTGTTCCGGTTTGGAAACTATTTTTGGAAGCCGAATGTCCAACGGAGCTTCTGCGGCTTCCAATTGGCTGCAGGAACTTCCTGCAGCCATTCAGAAACCGTGCTTTGGTTTCCAAACGTTTTGGAAGTCGAACAGACTTCCGGAACGGATTCCATTCGACTTCCAAGGTACGACTGTACTGTCAGCTACTGTCATAGAAAAATAGAAAGGAAGGAAGTTGCCTTTTACTGAGTCAGAAGACCACTAGTGTTATTGTTATTTATCACCTGTCTTTCATACTAATGTTCCAGGGTGGGCTACAATTATTAAAACGCAATATAAAAAATAGTTTAAACAACTTACAATCACAGTAGTAAAGAAACTGGAACTTTCTCTGCTACTGAGCTATGACCCTCACCCAGAGGCTCCTTTCCTTTATGTCTCAAGGAGGGCTGCATGTTTTTTGTACAGAACTCCACCCAAGAGAGCTTGTTTCTTTAAAACAAATTGCGCAGTTACTTCCGCTTACACTGTTTGTTAAATGTTGTTCTTAGTAATGGATATTAAACCATCACCATTTTAAAAGAAAATCTGCAATGGCAAGAGGAAGCTTGAAAGCTTTTAGGGTTGCAGAATTGGCAGTGGAGATTGCTGAGCAACGCCATTGGTATGGGCTTTTCATTTGTGCTTTAAGAAAAGTAATTGCTACTGTTCTTATTGAAGGATTACGAAGATGATTTTGACGACATAGATGATGAAGATGAGGATGAAGGTGGAGATAGCCAAGAGCAAGAAAAGGAAGAAAGAGAAACAAAAGAAAAAGTAAGAAAAATTCCAGTAGCCAAGAGCGCAGAAGTAGAAGCAATTCAAAAAGCTATTAATGCTGAAAATGAAAAGATTGAGACCTTCCTCCCAAAACAAAGAGAGAATCCAAAAGGAAGGGAAAAGGAACTGAAAATAGGTATGTGACTAGGTACTTACTTTTGGTTAGCAGTCATAAGAGTGACCCATTGTGGATGTACACAATTTTTTTGCACTCATTGTACAGTGTAAGGTTATTTCCTGTGGCTTTAATTGCAACTAAAGGTGAAGTAGGCAAGCTTGTTGTTCTTTTTGACCATTGCAGGCTTCATCCATGTATATTGGAGTCATCCGCTTGCATTTTAAAGATTTCATGAATATACTTACTATCTTGCAGAAAGGCAAGAGTCACCCGCTCGAAGTCCTGTTTCTGGAAAGTTCATTGATTTCCAAACTGCCAAACAGCGGCAAAGTATCAGAAAGATTGCCAGTGAGCAGAAGTAGGTAGTATTAAAATATATCACTGCATGTAACTTTTGCAAGATGGCTTGCATGTAAACTTCCAGTAGTTGTTTTTTTTTAATGTTACAAGTGTTGTACGCCTAACAAAGTGCAATAAAAGTATTTTTGTGAGCAATTCATGTGTACTAGGTTTAAATTGTTTGCATGTGTCACAATCCTATAGGGATAGAAATCGGTTCATATTTGCATGATTCTAGAACAGCAGCTTATCTGTGGAGGTGCCAGAGAAGACAGAAAAGTCTTTCTGGCCTTTCCTGCTGTCTCTCTTGACTCAGCTCAGACGCTGTGATGTAGTAATCTTAGCCAATGCCCATTTATATTGGGCAGAAAACTATTTTGTCCCTAATCTGCTCCCAGTAAGCAACAAAGCTATGTTTCCCTTAGTTAAGGGAGCTTGATGATTTCCACTCTTGACTTAAGGCAAGTTCTGCTTCAAAGTTGGGCTAGTGCAGGAAAATGAGGGGGGAATTGTGTCCTTATTAGTTATCTAGTTTAGCAGTCTGGTGATCACATTCCAAAATAGTCTGCTCAGAGACTTTCCTTCCTGGGGAAAAAATGTATAGATAACTAGTTTCATCTTAGTTTTTATTCAGGAAGATTGTTAAATCGGTTTTTTATTTGTTTTGTTTTTCTTGGTTGTAAATCGTTTTGAGACCTTTTTGGTGGGAAGAGATATAAATTTAATAAACCTAAACTAGGAGTATTCTCTGTCACCTAATATTACTGTTTAACATATACTTAGAGTCAACGTATATGTTACATTTAAAACCTAAGGTATTTTAAGTGTAAACCTAAAAGCATAGAATATGAATGCTATAAATATGTGCTTGCAAAAACATGTATTGTGCAGATACATGTCAGGCAGCTGTGATTTGCTGCAGGTCCCTGTTGATCTTACATTTGGTGACAAACCTGTGTTGCTCCCTGTGTAATGTCTGAAAGAGCCCTTAGTGTCGACAGCATGCTATGTGCAGTAAAGTATACAGAAATGAAACGGCTCCTACCCAGGAGGCATTCAATTGCGTTAGTCTCATTCTCCTCAAAGTGCATTGGAACTGCAGACATAAAACCATTCCTTCAGATTATATGCCTTGATTTTGAACTCTTTGCTCTTCCCTTTAGGAGTGAGAATATTTCTAGACCTTATAGTACATGTCACTATATTTAGTTCTTACTAGCCATTTTGCTTTCTTGTGACGTGTTTTCAAGGAAACGTAGCATTGAACTGCTCCGACTTATTGACCTGGACTTTTCAGTCACCTTCTGTTTGCTGGATTTGCCTCCAGTGAATGAATATGACATGTATATCCGGAACTTTGGGAAAATAAATACCAAGCAGGTACACCACACAGCATATTCATTCTGACTGCTCTCATTTCTTGTTCACTTGATTTCCTGTTCCCTCTCATCCCTTCTTCCTTTTCTGGTGTGTTTTTAGCCTACAGACAGGAAGTATGCTATTTTTATTTATTTGTCAGCCATTCTGGGAGCTTTCCTGGCTAAAGGGTGGGTATAAATGTTTTGATTAAATAAATACAACATTTTCAGTACTGACAGTACCCCAAAACATTCATTAATTTCTGATAATGAAGTTGGCAATGGGGTATATGTTTCTAATGCAAGAGAAATTGCGTTTGCCATTGCTAGTACTTTTAAAGCCAAGAGTTACAGCCATAAGAATTTTCACACTAGGGCAAACTAGAAAAAAAGTTAGATACTTAGTAGGTCTCATCCAGATGAAATCAGTTAGACCTTAGGTCTTTACTGTGTTCTTGGTGTTAATGGATAACAGAGCAATCCTAAGTATAGGATGACAGCATAGTTTATGCTAGGATAAATCATGCCAGTGTAATTTATCCTCTATTCCAAACTCCATTCAGGAGTGAGGCTGCTGCCAGCTGAACAAACCTGAACCTAGCAGATGGAAAACAAGCCTTTAAAATAAGAGTTTGACTTGCACCACTCTTTTTGCCAGTGTAAGTTCCATTGGGTTGCCAGGTGCAAGTTTCTCTTTGTCCCATCACACCTCTTTTGGGGGACTTCTGCTGGCTTAAATTCTTCCATATGAACCCATGGATGAGGGAGTTTCGCTGGCTCATCCAGGAAAGTCCAAGATCCACCTATTCCAAACTCACTTGTCTGATGCACACAGACACACCCCTCCCTTTGGTTGCCTTGACTGAGTCTTCCAGGCCAGGAATATTTGGATGCTGCTATCCATTATTGTGAGTAATAGTGTTCCTTGCTAGTCAGCAGCTTCCATTTAGTACCCCCAGAGAATATACTGCAGAGTCAACAGAACAGACCTTCCAGTTCATTTATTTTATTCCTTGGGGACAAAATGCATAGTTCATGTTTCCATGGGATTCAGCAAGATTAATGTGCCCGTCTCTTCTTGATTCCAAACAACTACTTTTTAAACTCAGTTCTATAGGCAATCGTGTTCAAAGATTTTATCTTAAACATCCAAAGGAAAAGAGAAACATTATTTTCTTTATACTATGAAGTAGATGATAACGCAACTTTGTACAGTACCTTGAATTTTTCATGAGGTGCAAAGTATTTTGGGATACAGCAGATGGGTATTTCAAGTGGCTCACAGCTGCAGGTGCTCAGAGTGAATGGGATATTTTCATATTTCTACTTTAGGCCTATGTACAGTGGAATGAAGATAACCTGGACAGGGATGTTCAGACTGACGAAATAGAGACTCAAGAAAAATGGACCCAACATCCTGGAGAAACTGCTGTTGTGTCTGGAGGTGATTATTATTTAGATATGTAGAGGTGTTAAAATGTAATATAATTCAAGAACACGCTAAGAGAAACCTCACTATGTATCTCTTATTATCAAGTGGTCATTTCCTATTGGCTTTAGCAACACAAAATGTGAAAGCAGTTTGGAACTTTCTGGGTAATGTACTATCGTCTTTCCTTGGGTCTCATTTCAGGTCCAAAAAGCAGCAGTGATGTATCTTCCCTTACCCCAAAGATTGATTCCCAGAGATTGGCAAGTTTTCTGAGATCTGCTTGTCAGGTATATATTTTACTTTTTATATTCATGCTTAAAATAATAATTAGCAGGTACTTTTTATCACATGTGGTGGACCTGTCCTAAGGTAAAAGACTTCTGGGAAAAGATTTATAATGAATTTTAAAAAATGATGAAATACACATTTATAAAGAATCCAGAAGCCTTTCTCCTTGGAATATTAGGTTCTGAATTGCCCAAGAAAGATGTAAAGGTATTTTTGTACGCCACAACTGCTGCATGAATTTTAATAGCCAAAAAGTGAAAAACACAAGAACTACCAACTGTGGAAGAATGGCAATTCAAGATGATGGACTTTATGGAGCTGGCTGATCTCACTGGGAGAATCCGCGACCAGAAAGAAGAGGAAAATCAAGAAGACTGGAAGAAATTTAAAGACTATTAATCTTTAATATTGTAATATTAAAGATTAGTAGTTACTTGAAGGTACTAAACAGGCTTAGGACTAAATTAAGACTAAATAAATAAATAAGACATAGAATGTTAAGAAAAGTTAAGAAATCTGATTATAAACTGAATATTGTACTTTTGAATAATGATATAGGAAAACTGCTACATTCAGTTACAAGGAAATTCAGATGGAAGAGATTAGAGGAAGTCAAGTAATACGTTTAAGAAGTTGGAAATTTAATTAATTAATCAGCTTTTATTGCTTATATGTTTGAGGTTGTATTTTTGGTTATCATTTGTTATATTTGTTCTATTCTTTTTTTCTTTTGGTTTTATTGATTTTATAGTATGTGCTGTATTTGTATGAAACTTAATACTTGGGGAAATACTTGGGGAATACTTGGGGAAAAAATAAAATAATAATTAGCAGTAACCATAGTCTGGAGCTTAATATATTCCTTACATAGACAAGAGACAGAATGATCGCTTGTGTTTCCCCTCACCTGGTTTTCATTCTGTAGGATGGTTTTCCTTAATCAAGTAGGAATGGGTACCCATGGAAGAACAAACTCCTCTATAACAGCTCCGCAAATTCAGTTTTTCCGCTTGTCTTGAAACTACCCCACAAAACTTTCCCACCATCTTCTATCTAAGTCATTGAAGTGAGGTAAAAGCAGTTTAAGCCAGCAGACTCCTTAGCAGGTTATTATCACTGAAGGAAAGAGTAATAGATTTCCCCCCACATTTCTAACAAATACTATTTTTTTTAAAGGTAATTGAAGTTCTGCTTGAGGAAGATCAAGTAGCAACGCAGCCCCGGCGGAATCTGAGATCACGACCATCCAGTCTGTCTATTAGTGACAGGTGCTTCCAGTTAAACACCAATCTTCCTTTCTTGAATGGTAAGACGCTTTTTGCTCTTCATCTTGTAGTGGGGCACCAGAAACTCCTATTCTTTTGCAGACATGTCTAGATCTTTTGCCTGTGACTGATACATAGTGAAAGTCATGATGCTGAGCAGTTTATAGAAGAACCTCCTTGTTCAGAGGCAGTATGCCAGATCCCAGGAACAAGCAACCGGAGTAGGGCATCATTGTTTTGTTCCCTTCTTGTGAATTTCCAACATTATCTAGCCGGCTGCTGTTGGGAACAGAATTGTAGATGCAGCGAGACAATCCTTACATTCTTCTGACCCATCTGCAGCTCTCTGCAAAGTTAAATTCAACTAATTTGAATACAGAAGCATGCCTGTTAGTTTGCCTAGATATGCAGAAGGCACAAGTTTTACATAGCAGCAGCTTTTGTCTTGCAGACTAAGGGCTAAAGTAGATAGGATAAGGGAGAACCACGATTAGACACCCTATCATCAAACCAATACCTCTCAAGTGCTTCTATTTAAACCAAAATCAGACACCACCCTTCTTGCTTTTAACTAAAAAGGGAAACATTGGGAGATCCAGTCACAAGTCTCCTGTGTAGTTGAGCCATAATAGATTTTTAAAATGTCATCTGTGATTTTTGGTTTCCCCCCCTAGGTCGAAGGGTATCCTGTTTGCACATCTCACAGGGTCAGAGGCAAGCTCTGCTTTCTGTTCATGGGTTTCCTGAGAAGTCAAATGACTTACCGCTGGACAGCAAATACATCATTTGTGTATGGAATGTCTGGCAACCTTCTAGTCCTCAGAAATTACTGTTTTGTGAATCTCAGGTATGCTTTAACGATATGCCACTGTCTAATGCACTAGCACCCACCTCTTTGTATATGTTCTAATCTAATTGTTGCCTGCAGACCCACATCAGCCACAACCGCACCCAAGACTCCTGTCTTACCTTTCGCTTCTAGTACTGCCACCTTCCCTGCTTTCCACTTTCATCACAGAAGAGAAGGGAAGAGAGAGAAACAAGGAAAAACCCTCTCCAGGTTACCAGAGTATTGTAGATTAAGTGGAAGGCAGTTATAACAGGATTTTTCCTCAAGTGCACACTAATAATATTTGAATACAGTGGTACCTCGGGTTAAGTACTTAATTCATTCCGGAGGTCCGTTCTTAACCTGAAACTGTTCTTAACCTGAAGCACCACTTTAGCTAATGGGGCCTCCTGCTGCCACCGTGCCGCCGGAGCACGATTTCTGTTCTCATCCTGAAGCAAAGTTCTTAACCCGAGGTACTATTTCTGGGTTAGTGGAGTCTGTAACCTGAAGCGTATGTAACCTGAAGCATATGTAACCCGAGATACCACTGTATCTACAAAGCAGTTTGGGACTGCTAATCTGAAAATTGTGTTAATTTTATATCCATGGTATGTTGTCCATTTTGGAACATTCTGCCTCGCTATATGACAAAAGAGAGATTGACCTGGTGTCCCTACCCAGGTAGCCAAACCACCACACACACCCCAAGTCCAGGTTCAACAGCAACTGAAGTTGTTCCAGTTTGATTCAGTTCAGACCAATAAAGGTTCATTAACTGGGTCACCACATGTGGGTCGACTGGCTCAGTTCTGATTAATTCCCTTAAGTCAAATATTAGAAATAAAATGTTTTAATTCAACTCAGCAGCAACGTATTATTTAATTCCCCCCTATAGAGACTGGCTGAGCACTGCAGCATGGGGAAGGCACTCTGTTATGCACAAGAATAATATCCTCTCTTCTTTCCTTCTTTCAGCAGCCTGTTTTATCTTTAAAATTTGCTACAGTGGTTTCTGTCTCAATGAGGAAGCTTACATCCAGCTCAGCTTCCACACCCCCTCTTACAGTCTGCTCTCTATGGGATTTTGAGCATGCCTGTGCATTTAGACAGTCATGGGCTAAACCCAGAACAGCTGTTGCTCGGGGAAAGAAAAGTCTCAACTCGAAGATTTGACACACAGAAATTCTTGTTTTCTATGGGAACAAATGTGCATTGGGAATTCTTCTGATGCCCCTAAAGAGAGTGATCTAATTTATTTAACTTGTTTGTTTTGCATGTATTTTGTAAACAAAGCAAAATATATGTTAAAACTACCAAGCTCATGTAATAGTCATTTGTATTTGGCATCTGTTTTAATGAACTTACGAAACAGAGTTTTCCAAGGGGAAATAAAGCACTGAAAAATTTTCCACCCCACATCATTGAGATATATTCCTGTTCAGGTGCTACAAAAGCTTTCAGACAGTAGTTCATCTTTTATTTTTGTTGGGGGGGGGGAGGTTCATTCCTTTATGTTCTGTTTGATTCCATAGTGTACTGCATGTGAAAAACTGATTACTTTGTGTCATATTTTATCAAATTTGTATACACTGGTACCTTGGTTCTCAATTGTCTCGGAAGTCGAACATTTCGGTTTTTGAATGCTGAAAACCTGGAACTAACTGCTTCAGTTTTCAAACACTTTTTGGAAGTCGAACGTGCCACGCAGCTTCCGTTTTGAGTTTTCCATAAGTAAATTCTTCCAGAATGCCTGCTTCAGTTTTTTAACGTTTCGGAAGTCGAACGGTCTTCCAGAATGGATTACATTCGAAAACCAAGGTGCCAGTGTACCGCCCTTCATCCACAGATTTCAGATCAGTTCACAACATTAAATTAAAGTGTAAGATTAAGGGTTCAAGACTACATCTACCCCCACAATCATTGCATTACATTAACACTATTTATATTATATCATTGGAATGGTGCTAATGTCAAATGTGCTCCACGTAGGCAAAACGAAATTTATCATTTCTCTTCCCTTCCATTAAGTTGGACTCCCATCGAACCAAAACATATTCAGTATAACTATATTTCCCTCATTTGTAATTCTGGGATATTTTGTCTTGCCGTATAGGTGACATGCTGCTGCTTTAGTCCTAGTAAGGCTACTTTAGTGTTTGCTGGAACAATCGATGGTTCAGTGCTGGTATGGGATCTCAGAGAAGACTCAAGGTTGCACCACTGCATGAAGGTCAATGAAACAGATTGGACATTTCGATCTCCAACGTTTTCTACCGGTTGGTCAACATCCCTTGAATGATATCATCACATCTGTTGCAATCTGAGTGGCCAGGACCATGATATATGAACAAGCACAGTTCATATATATGAAGTTGTTCCAATTCCATTTTGGGTATCTCTCCCCCCCCCCACTCCATGCAAAAGATGTGTAAAAAGATAAGTCAAAGGCTGAACCCATGTAATTAAAGTTGATGAAAAGAAGATCAGTGAAGTAGTATCAATCTTTTTTTTCTTTTATTTTTGCTAGAATATATACCAAGCCTGGCATGTTATTAGCAATACTTCCAACAAAGTTTAATTGTTTTTTAATTAATGCTTTTTCTATGTTTTCAGCGGTTCTAATTTTTATGTGTAAGCTGCCCTGTCAGGGGAAAAAGGAGGAGTATAAATAAATAATGTAGTAAATCTAAATGTTATTCCTAGTTTGACATGTTTGCCATTTTACCACTCAAGTGGCTTGTATGATGACTTATGATTAATACTAGAGAGTTTAGAGTTAATTCTGCTCCCTGTATCTTCTGAGGAAAAGCACCCCAGCTTGAAATGCAATGGGCGTGGTGCTTTCAGTATAATAGGGTTAACACTTAGTGAAGTTTTTAACATCATATGCAGTAATGTAAACATGTATTAAAGAGAACAGAGACCTTATCTGAAATTTGGTTTTTTTAGCACTTTTGTTTCCACACCAGTTTAGCAGTCACTACAGTCCTGAATTAAACAAAACGGGGGTTGGTTGGATGGGTGGACTTACTGTTTGCTTATTTCTCAACTATAGATGGAGTATTTGCCTCAGTAAACCACACATGTTCTGTGCTGACAGTCGAACCTGTCTCAACATCTGTCTTCAAGGAGCAGAATTGTGGTCTTTCCTACCTCTCATCTCAGGAGGGTACGTAGACCGCTCTCCAGAAATTGACAAATATTCTTTGGAAATACAGGTTGTGCCCACAGTTGTTATTGTTCTGGAATTCCTTGCCTATAAACATTTCTGTAGTTCAGAAGCCATGGTTGGTTTAGCCAAAGTATGGCTTGTTTGAACATCCTAACTCAGTCTAGCAGACAAATAACCTTGGTTTATTTTCTGGGATCAAACCATGCTGTTAACTAATTCCATGGAAGCAAGAAGCTCGCAGGTGGTGTCCAATCAGTAGTCTACATCAAACAGCATGGTTTGCTAAAGGGATCTCATTATTTTGTAGTCTTTGGCTTCTGTAAAGCTGGGGAGCCAGAGGTACTGCAGGAGAGTCATCTTCTGAGTCAGAGCATGGCAACAGAGTTGTCCTATGATGGGAAGAGCCCTGAAGATGGCACTGCATGTTCTTCCTTCTACTCACCACAGTGAAGTCACATGAACCTTTCCACAGTCGTCTGCCACGCATTGCAAGGTCCTCATTTCGTGGGTCATGGCAGATGTGAAGCCATAGTTTATTGCTGGCTTTTGAACTGCGGCTTATCTTTACTACGTTTTGGCATTATGAATGAACCCAACAGCCTTGCTTAATTGTGGTTTATTTGACCATCCCAGCTACTTGGCAAACTAAGAGGGACGGGCAGTTAGAAAACAAGCCAAGCATTAGAGACACCTGCCGCAGGCTGGTCATTATTCTGCCGCTGAGTTTCACTGCACGGTTTGTTTCATTCTGTATTTGTTTTATGGCATGGTGATATTTTAAATTGTTTCTTTCTATCAGCTGGCTTGAGGAACCTTGATGGGTGGAAAGGCAGCATATTAATTTAACAAACCAAGAAGTGAACATTATTGCCTCAGTGTTGAGGATAAAATTCTAGCATGTTAGTATCTCTGTTAATGCCTATCTTATGGGGGTCAAATTTAAGTGGGCAAAATAATGTATGATCAACCATAGTGCCTGCAAATCTATAATTACTGAGTTATCATTTTTCCTTGCAGAAATGTTAGGACTTTCATTTCAGATTGCCTCTATGGATGAAAACGGGACTCTCAGTCTGTGGGTGAGTTGGAACTTTTCCATAGCTATTACTCACTTGTTGCTCAGGCATATAGCTTTTTTTGTGCAACTTTGGCTGTTTTTGAGAGAGACTTTACACAAACATTAAAGATGTTATCGCTTGGAAAATGCCGTTTCCCTTTCCTGCTAATTAGGGCATCCTGTTGTGAATCCTGTTTGTAAGTATCATGAGCATCTTTTTGGTTGGTTCCTATTAAAACTAATAATAACCTTTTTTAAAGAATTACTCTGCTTTTAGATCTAGATTTCCAATGCAGTTCACACAAGAATGCTCCATACAGTAGTGCTTTCCCCTGCTACTACCACTGTCATGCTTTCCTGTTTGTAAAGTTGTCACAAAATTTATTTCTGAGGAAGACCACTCTTCTGCTGCACCTCTGGAGCATTTATGTATTATTTTAAAGATCTGTTTCACTCATATTCCACAGCAGTATAAAGTGCAGCCAATAACCTTTCACTACGCTGTGGGTTAAACCACAGAGCCTAGGACTTGCCGATCAGAAGGTCGGTGGTTCAAATCCCTGCGACGGGGTGAGCTCCCGTTGCTCGGTCCCTGCTCCTGCCAACCTAGCAGTTCGAAAGCACGTCAAAGTGCAAGTAGATAAATAGGTACCGCTCCAGCGGAAAGGTAAACGGCGTTTCCGTGCGCTGCTGTGGTTCGCCAGAAGCGGCTTAGTCATGCTGGCCACATGACCCGGAAGCTGTACACCGGCTCCCTCTGCCAATAAAGCGAGATGAGCGCCCACAACCCCAGAGTCGGTCACGACTGGACCTAATGGTCAGGGGTCCCTTTACCTTACTAAGCTTTGGATGATATTGTATGCTTTCATTTGTGAATTTTAGTGTGGTAGGGATGCCTAATTGCACATTATATGCAAGATTTAAAATATATTTTAAGAGAATGATCCGTTTAGGCAAGGAAGCCCACAACCAAATTTTAGGAAAGGAAAAGCTGGTCTTAGGGTATATTGTTTGGAGAATGCCTGCAAAGCAAACTTTGTTTTGAATAAGCAGTAAGTCAAGGAATAAGAACTAAGGTAGTATAGTTTTTAATTTAGTAAACTGCAGGGTAGGCAAAGTCTTAGTGAGAACATACGGAAAGCTGAAATATGTTTCAGAATGTTTGCGATGATACCTCCTCTTTTTTCTTGATTTTTATTTTTTTTTTGCCACTTTTTAGGTAGTAGTTGAACTTCAAAAGGGGGATCTGGCAGGCTCACAAAGTGATTTAGGTAAGTGAAACTCCTCAGTGAAGCTGCTGTTTATGGAAGGGAAGGAAGACAAAGTCAGATACTGTGAGAAAAGCATTGTTGGTCATCACAAAAGCTTGGGATTGTTCTGGGCAGGCAGCCAACAGTGGAATTGCATGCAATACTTACATGAAGCATTAAAATAATGGCTCTGTATACCTAGAGTCACTCTAGGTGGTATCCTCTATCTACCAACTTTCCTTTGTAGAAAAATCTTGGACCTTGGAATACATGTTGGTCTGCAATTTCCATAAAGCACCAAATCAGTGCTGCTATTATTATTATTATTATTATTATTATTATTATTATTATTACTACAGTTCAGTTTTATTACTTACAGGCTTAATTCCAGGGGGCAAAATAAAACTGGTCCACAGCTCTACAGTTCAGCTGAATTGCAGGTAAAGATATGACACATTTCTTGAAGTTATTGTTCTATAACCAAGCATATTTCTTTGTTATAATCTGTGTTTTTCAATCTGAATCACTCAGTACTTTTGAAAACACTCAGTTGCTGGAGGTTTGCATTGTCCTCTCAAAGTGTAAAAGCCATTTAGGCTTCAGATGTGCTTTTATACAACTGCAGCTGTGGATGTGGTTGCTATTTCTACTACATCCTGAGGGCAGGCCAAGCATTATGCTGCTGTTAGTGAAAAATCGTTTGGGAGAAGGATCCTCCCTCTAACAGTGGACTAGGTTGGTGAGTGCTGACAGGATTGTAGCCAAAATGGGGACACTAAGAAACGAGGGGGGGAGGTATCAGTATGCTTGGGGGAACCCCAAGATTTACAGCAAAACAAACATTTTGAGAAAAGCTCCAAAAAATGCAGCTCACTGAGGGCTAAATATGTTCAGTATCCACACAATACTGATTGCCTGTTGTGGGGGGGGGGGGGCAGAAATTGGGGAGAAGAATGGAATGAAATGTCTTAGAAAAGGATATGAGACAGTGAATGAGAGCACTCTACACTGCAACATTTCTACAATATATAAATTTATCCATTTGACATTTTCCCAGATTTTATTCAAGGGATACCGTGCTCATGAAGGTACCTCAGACACTGAATATTAAATTTCTGCCTTCAAATCCCAATCATTTTGTTGTCGGAACAGACGTTGTGAGTAATATTCTCTACTTAATTTCACTATTGCCTCCTTTCTTCTCCTGAATGTTGTCCGTGATCCATCTGCATTTGTTAACATTTTAATGGCGACATCTTTAAATGCATGCACTTTCAGGTTCTTATTACAAATTGCTACATTTTAAGTTCTAAATAAAGCTAACAGCTCTCTGTAAAGTGTTTTTCATGGGGGGTTTTGTATTAAATTTATTCATTTAATATGCATACAAAACAATAATTTACATGCCTTACAGACAAACAAGCAGAAAGGAAAGAAAACAAAACAAAAAGCAAAAAAATAGGGATAAAGGAAAATTACAAAAAATAGGTGGATGATAATACACCCTGGTGACTTCCCTCCACCAGTGCTTGTCATCTTTAATTCTTTACCATTCTTGTTTACATTGCAGTTCATGTATCACTATGTTACTTGTTTTATTAAGCTATTAAAACAACTTTACAAACTAGTCTAAACATATCAGCATGCTATCTTTAGAGCAGTGTTTACTCATATATTCTTCAAACCATATCCATTGTGATCTAGTTTGGTATCTTATTGCTGCAGTTGATTTTGCCCATTCTATAAATTCAGCTAATTTATATATCCAGTCCTCTTTTGTGGGTATATAATTTCCTTTCCAGATTTTTTTTTTTTGCAAGAAGTAGCCTACCTGGGTTGTTTCATTTAACGTAGCAGAAATAAGAGTCCCCACCCCCCGCTTTTTTTTAATTTGCAGGCTATAGTGAGCCATGGTACAAGGCATGAACTAAGAATACCTCCCAGGTGGTTCAAACCACAGCAGGGGGCGCCGAGATCAACCAGAATCAACGCCATCGACTTCTCTCCTTTTGGAAAACCAATCTTTTTGGTATGGATGTCCATTTTCATTTCTTGGCAGGAGCTTAGCCGGGCTGTTTAACAGAGCTAAACGGCAAAATGCGTGTATCCTATAATGGAGCAGTCTTTGCTTCTGTAAAGAGTTTTGCAAGTAGCATCAAAATTGCTCAACCCCCCAGCTCTGGCAGCGTGACTCAGATTTCAGTCTGTTCTGAGATGAGGCAACAATAATAGTGTCTTGTAATTCTTCGTACAACTACAAACAGATGAACGTCAAGTGTAAGAACACACACAGTTACCTTTGTTTACATAAACTTGTAGCCAGACCATAACCACGTAGAGAAAGGGCCATGAACATGCAGCGTGACTGTAATAGCTGGACGGAGTGAAATTCTACAGTTGGTCAGGCTCTAAATAAGCACTTAAATTTACTCAAGGTGTTGATTGAACATGCCCAGTGAAATGTTCTGCTTTGAAAATTAGGCCCCTGTGCCATGTTGCAAACTGCTTTTATGACTTTCCTTAGTTTCCAAAAAGGTTTGCTGTTCAGTATGGGCCTAGGCCGGGCCTGCTATGACTCGCAAGGCCCCTTGGGCACACAGAAGAGGGTTGTGCAGGCTTCTGGATTCAGATTATATGTTATAGCAATATATAGGAATATAGCAATTATATGTTATAGCAATATATAGCAATATTGGCCAGACTATCATTCTAGTACAGTGGTGCCCCGCAAGACGAATGCCTCGCAAGACGGAAAAACCGCTAGACGAAAGGGTTTTCCGTTTTGAAGTTGCTTCACAGGACGAATTCCCCTATGGGCTTGCTTCGCAAGACGAAAATACCTTGCGAGTCTTGAGATTTTTTTTTTCGCTTTTCCCCCCCTTTATCTAATCTGCTAAGCCTTTAATAGCCTTTAATAGCCTTTTAGCAGCTAATCCCCTAAGCCTTTAAGCCTTTAATAGCCGCTAAACCGCTAATAGCGCTAATAGCGCTAATCCGTCAATGGGCTTGCTTCGCAAGACGAAAAAACCGCTAGACGAAGACTCTCGCGGAACGGATTAATTTCGTCTTGCGAGGCACCACTGTATTGTTTTGAATCTGGGAAAGAGCAGTGGGGTCAAGTGCTCTTCCCTCACCTTCCTCTTACCACGTGCTGGCTTCAGTACAGTGGTACCTCGGGTTAAGTACTTAATTCGTTCCGGAGGTCCGTACTTAACCTGAAACTGTTCTTAACCGGAAGCACCACTTTAGCTAATGGGGCCTCGCCGGAGCACGATTTCTGTTCTCATCCTGAAGCAAAGTTCTTAACCTGAAGCACTATTTCTGGGTTAGCGGAGTCTGTAACCTGAAGCGTATGTAACCTGAAATGTATGTAACCCGAGGTACCACTGTATAACGATTCTGGCTTGGATTAAGCCAGAGCCACCCATTATGTCCCAAACTGGGAAAATCTGGCTTAACATCAGTTAACAAACTGGGAAAAGAAGCTCAGGGGATGCTTTACAAAGCCTGGAACAATAATTTCAACAGGGCCACTGTGTATATGACCTGTACAAGCAGACTCCGATTTGTGCAGGGGTTGCATTCTGCGCAACGGTGGAACACAAATAAGCCCATTCTGACGCCTTGTACCCTCTTTTCCATCCACTTCCGGGTTGCCTCCTGTTATGTGTCTATTGGACATTCGTAAATCAGTTGTTGCCTGTATACATAATTACCAAAACTCACTTGGGGGGGGGGGGGGAGAAGTTTTTGCCTGCACCTACATGTTAACTTTAGCGAATATTGACAGTGGAAAACGCTGCATCACTTCTGCAAGATTTGGGTGCAGGGAATGACGCTCCCCAACCTGGCCTGTTAGCCTGAAACCAGAGATTATTCACAAAAAGTTCAGTCTTCCTTTCCTTGGTACTAAGGCACAAGGGAGCTGGCGTGTTAATCACACAGCATGGTACTGTGTGATATATATTGCCACCACAAGAACCAATGCACAGAACAATTTCTAATGTCAGCCTGACCTTTTATTACCAGGGATGCTTGTGGCAATGCAAGCAATAAGGCAGCAGCAGGCAGACAGGAGGGAGAGCATTGGGGTTTGCCACTTATGTGCAGTTATTTGTGGGCAGTTGTTACATGCTGCGGGTGAGTGGCAAACTGTGTGTGGCTCCCTTTAGAGTTGGTTGTACATTTTAATCAATAAGAGGATTACTTGTGCCAGCGAACCGCTAAGGTTTTGTCTTTATGTTTTCAGGTGGGCTGTTCAGATGGCAGCATAAGATTGCACCAAATGACCTCTGAGCTTCCGCTTATGCAGTGGAACAACAGCACAAGCGGGCAGCCCATCATTTCCCTGCAGTGGGCTCTGACCAGACCAGCCGTCTTCTTTGTTTTGGATGCCATGTCTGTCGTTTACATTTGGGACCTGCTGGAAAACGACTTGGCTCCCGTAGCCAAGCAGCCTATCTGGTCCGATAAGTAAGTCCATACATAGCACGGTGTTTTAGCGATAGTCATACAAACTTGGTATAATAATAATAATAATAATAACAATAATAATAATAATTTATTATTTATACCCCGCCCATCTGGCTGAGTTTTCCCAGCCACTCTGGGCTGCTCCCAATCAAGTGTTAAAAACACTACAGCATTAAATATTAAAAACTTCCCTGAACAGGGTTGCCTTCAGATGTCTTTTAAAGATAGGATAGCTGCTTATTTCCTTCACATCTGAAGGGAGGGTGTTCCACAGGGTGGGCGCCACTACCGAGAAGGCCCTCTGTCTGGTTCCCTGTAACCTCACTTCTTGCAATGAGGGAACTGCCAGAAGGCCCTCGGTGCTGGATCTCAGCATCCGGGCTCAATGAGTGACTGAACTACAAGTGACTGCTGTTCCCTTGCTATAAACTCCGATCTTCATGAGCTTTACACTTCCTTAACCCATGTAAAGATTACTGTCATGGTCCAGGTAATCGCCACATTTGGGGTCAGGAAGGAAATCCTCCCCACGTTTCCCTCTCTGTTCCCTCTGGTGAATAATTTCCAAGCTTAAGGTAGTTGACAGGGTTTCCAGGAGGAACAGAGGGATTTTGATGTAGCTGGAGGAGTCAAACGGCCTCGGTCCAGTATACCTAAAGGAGCGTCTCCACCCCCATCGTTCTGCCTGGACACTGAGGTCCAGTGCAAAGGGCCTTCTGGCGGTTCCCTCGCTGCAAGAAGCCAAGTTACAGGGAACCAGGCAGAGGGCCTTCTCGGTGGTGGCACCCGCCCTGTGGAACACCCTCCCACCAGATGTCAAAGAGGAAAACAACTAACAGACTTTTAGAAGACATCTGAAGGTGGCCTGTTTAGGGAAGCTTTTAATGCTTAATAGATTATTGTATTTTAATATTCTGTTGGAAGCCGTCCAGAGTGGCTGGGGAAACCCAGCCAGATGGGCGGGGTATAAATAAATAAATAAATAAATAAATAAATAAATTAATAATAATAATAATAATAATAATAATATGGCCATGGCTTTGAGTCTCTCCTCTCCTGATGTTGAAGCAGTAGGGTGGTTGGGGGTGGAGACAGCTCTTGGAGGTGGGAGTGGGGAGAAGCTGATGCAAATGTGGGGAGGGGGTCCTTGCTGTGTCCCTCAGATGAAGCCACATGGAATGGCAGCTTGTGGAGGCCACTTTGGAGAGGAAGCAGGAGGAGCCAAATGACAGTTGATCCCAGTCAGGTGAATCGAGGGAGAGTTACTTTTTCACCTTTCTCTCCCTCTCTTCTTCCCTTTGTTAAACAAGCACTTTTTTCCTCTCAGGGTTATAACTATGGCTGTACTGGGCGAGCCTGAAAAACCCAGCGGTCTCCTGGGGATTGCCCTGGCCAAAGAATCTGGAACAATAGACATAAAGTACGTAAAGAAGAAGTGGGCACTACCTCAGCCAGAGGAATCTGAGAAATTAAACTTACTTCTGCAGCAGGCCTTGTAAAAAAAAGAAAGACATGCCTTTCTGTGAATACACACATATGACAACCATTTGATTTTAGATGTATTTGTTAATATTTGGGTTTTAGCTTGAGTAAAATACATGATTTCATATTTTTTCATTCATCTTTGTAAATAGTATTTATATATTTTTAAAGCATCGACACAGTATTTGAACCTGAGATAGAGAATATTTTTATCAAACATAAAACAGAACAAATATTCATGATATTTTATGCAAAGGGGAGATATAAATTGTATTTATATTTAATTCCAAAAATGTATTTACTTAGTATAGGCTATGCATTGCAATTGTTTATAGATATTTTAGAATAAAACAATGAACATGAAGTCCTTTGAAGTTTAGGTATCTTCTTTTAAATTGAAAGCCATTAGATAGTTATATTTATTATTCATTTGAAATAAAGAGCATTAATATGCTACAAAACATTTAATAATGTTGGGTTGGAGCCCATGGAATTAATATAGTGTTTGGTTTCTTCAAACACCTGTTACGCGTTAAAGTGCCTTGCTTCTGGTATGGCTGTGGGACATTATAGAATCAGGAACAACTCTGGCCATTGAGACTCTTCTTGAAATCCTGCTTGTCTCTAGTTTTGTCTTGTGGAAACTCAGTTTTTCCTTATGCATGTATTTGGACATCTTCATTGGAGTCGCCAAAAGCCCCAAATCACTTACTATACGAGCTAAACCCATAATGGAATACACAGCTTCTGCACGCTGCTTTTGTGATTTCCGAAAATGTCCATTTCTTGGTAAAAGGTGGTTGTGAATAGAACTTTAGTGGTCACTCTGGTGGAAATATGGTTCAAAATGGCCGTCCAACAAAATGAAGAAGACTTGAGCGGAATGACAGTTCATCCAAACTTCAGCTTTGTTATACCCTGTTTGTACTGTTTGTACTGGCTTAGAGTGGACAGGGGTAAAATAGATGTGCTGGGTTCAGATGGAACTCAGGATATAGGGGTTTTAATATGCTGATAATAGGATGGTTGTGTTTTTTTGTCTGTCAGTTATTTGTTGATTCCTAATTTTTTTATCTGTGTAACACACTTTGCTCAGAAGCCTTGGGGATAGGGATGAATAAAAATCCAGGTACATAAATAGTAACTTCCAGAGGAGTAGCCACATAAGACAACTGCAGCTTAGAATCTTGTGGTATGTTAAAAAATAAAATCCTGAGACCATTACCCTCTCATGACAAAAACAACCTGCAGTCACAGCTGCACATTACTCTCTCCCAGGATTTATTTTTTTAAAGGAAATACATAACACCCAGTCTGAGGAAGTGTAAATTGTAGCTTTTAAACTTGCATATTTCATTGTCAGTTATTGTGCAAACCTCTTTGTTGTTTTTGCTGCAACAGACTTAACACAATGACCTGCTCTCCCTGTGAATTATATACAAATATTTATCATTCAAACAGTCTAGTAGTCCACAAGAGGGCACCAAACCATTATCAGTAAATATGGGTATTTATGCAAAATACGTTTGGGACAAAAAAGAGATTATTGTTATATTTAAATAATGCAGCATTAACCCATAGAATGTCATTGTAATGCACATGTCTCTGGTTCCTTCAGTATTCCCCCCCCTCCCCCAATTCTCGGGTACTCACATAGATTTCAGGGAGTCAGGTATAGAAAGGTTTTCAAAATCATTAGGTTGAATCCAATTTAAGTTAATCAGTGGAACCTAAATACAATTAAGCCTATCATATACCTTTACCTGGGAGTAAGTCCTACTGAATTCAGCATGGCTTATTTCTAAGTAGATTCTTTTAATTATTATTTATTCCTACCCCTTCACCCTGAGGTCTCAGGACAAGTTGCAGCAGTGTAAAATGCAATATTATAAGCAGTTTACAACAAATTTCAATCAGTAGTGAAAATAAACATCTCAAGTGTCCAAGGCCAGGGTGAAAAGGTGTGTGTTTGGCAGACGAGGAAAACACAAGCGTGAGCATCTCATATCGGGCCCACAAACAAACTGGCAACCGCTGTAGCTGTTTTAAAGGGGGTTGTATGAATTCTGAATGGAGAGCCAGCCAGTAATCTGGCTGCTGCATTTTGGACCAGTTGGAATTTCCAAGTCTCTTTCAAGGGCAGCCCTAGGTAGCGCACATTGCAATAACCCCATCTGGAACATGGAGTATTGTAGCCAACTGAGCTGTGCCTTAAAGTGGCCAGAGCTGGAAAAAGGCACTCCTAGCCAGTAACAACGTTGGATCCAGGAATTTCTGCAAACTACGGGCCTGTTTGTTCCAGGGGAATGCAACCAGACCCTCCCTCCGGGGACAGTCCTGGATATACAGAAGCCGTCCCGGTTTCTGATTTGATCCCGGAATGTCCCGCTTTTCCTTAGGACGTCCCTATTTTCATTGGAGAAATGTTGGGAGGGTATACACCCATTCCACTATTGTTGACCTGTTATCACCTACAGTTTAAAACTGTTCAACTGCGGGTTCAAAATAAAGAAACCGACCAATTCAAATGTGATGAATTCATATATGTGATGCACTGCTATCGCTCGCTCACAAATCTGTAATAACTTGAAAATAAGGTAAAATGCCAGAAGTTAACAAAAGTGTCACAATTTCTGGGACAGCTTATTTGGACTTTATCCAAGTACAAACATTTGGTGCCCCTTCCTTCCCTCCCCCTGATTAGTACAGATCACTTTATTCACATTATCTCAGCCAAGAAGAGACGAGAGACATGAAATCTTGATGACCTTGCACTTTGGTTCCAAGTAAAGAGATTACTTAAACAATCTGGCCCTGAGCTAGGGAAGTGTAGAGCAGAAGACTAGATCAGCCTGGTCATAGGCTTAGCCTACATGTTTTTCAGAGATGTTGATGGACTACAACTCCCATAATCCCCTGGGCTTATGCGAGGTGAAGCCCAACTTTGGGCCAAAGGCTTTCCTCCCTGTGTTACATGGAACATAGAAAGTTACCCAAAATCATGTCACACATAGCCCATGGTTCTGGAGGGAAGAGAGAGATGTTTTAAAAACAAGTTTTCAAACCCAAAATAATAAAAACTGAAAGCACTACCTTTAAAAAATATTCTCTAACTGCATTTGAAGAATAATATCTAAAAACAGAACTTTGGCTTTCATTTCAGCTTTTAATATTTTTAACCCTGACTTCATTAATCATCTCTTTAAATGATGGGGTTCTATCCAGTTTTGGTTCTACTCAAGAGTAGTCCCGTTGAAATTAATGGAGATGCCTGACTTAAGTCCATTAATGTTTATGTGCCAACGCTGAATACAGCTAAGCCGATAATATCTCTCCAGGTGGAATCTCCATGTGGCCCGGAGAGCAATTACGTTATTCGATCAACAAGGTGGTTTTTAAGCTAAGCAAACAATCAGATAAAAACAGGCAGCAAATACAATTTCATTAGGTGGGTTGGTGGTTAAATAACTATATGATGATGACTACCACTGATGTACATCAATTCCCAGAAATAAAACAAGATAATGTTCTAAAGCATGTTTGCATGTATACCGCTAGGCACAAACTGAAAAAAAATAACAGCGAGGAATAAACTAGTGAACACTAGTTCCCTGCCCCAAGGAACTAACAATCTAGACAGACAACACTAGAGACGAGAAAAGGAAATGGAGACAGACATAATATATAAGAGAAATAAGTGGTTTTACAAATCATTTGGAAATGAAAGGGAGAGGTCAGCTGGAATTCACAACCAAATGAACAATTTGGGAAGAATTGATGCTTTTGAATTATGGTGCTGGAGGAGACTCTTGAGAGTCCCATGGACTGCAAGAAGATCAAACCTATCCATTCTTAAGGAAATCAGCCCCGAGTACTCACTGGAAGGACAGATCGTGAAGCTGAGGCTCCAACACTTTGGCCACCTCATGAGAAGAGAAGACTCCCTGGAAAAGACCCTGATGTTGGGAAAGATGGAGGGCACAAGGAGAAGGGGACGACAGAGGACGAGATGGCTGGATAGTGTTCTCGAAGCTACCAGCATGAGTTTGACCAAACTGCGGAAGGCAGTGGAAGACAGGCGTGCCTGGCGTGCTCTGGTCCATGGGGTCACGAAGAGTCGGACACGACTAAACGACTAAACAACAAAAGTAAACAGTGTTGGGAACTGCAGATCTGTGAATGGTCAATTACAGTTCCCAGGATTCTTTGAGGGAAGTCATGACTGTTAAACTGCTATAAATACACTTTAAATATGTGGTGCTGATATGACCATATTTACTTGGGAGTAAGTCTCCTGGATCTTAGTGGACATGCACACTGTTTCTGGATCAGGGCGAGTGTCCCAGTTTCTCTGCTTTGTTAGGGTATTTGTTCCCAAAGAAAAAAAGCAAACATTCGAGGAGAAACTGTTAAATTCCTAATACTGAAAGTAACTGACCTCCCAGGACCTAAAACTCTTCAAGGCACCAATTTGCCCTCTCAGCTTTATTACTGCTTTCTGGCTCGCTGCTGTTCTCTCTCAGCTTTTTCAGATGAGAAAATGGAGGACGGAAAAATAACAATAAAGTTATAAAAAATAATTCTTCTGGTGGAAACTGCCCAAGGCTTCTCAGAGAAGCTGCCTATTTATATGACATGTACCCCAACATGCTCCTCGCAAACATAACAACCTTAATCCCCAGCCTCCTTTGCCAAGACAGTGTATGGAGTCACAAATGAAAAGGAATAAATTCATCTCGAACTTTCTGCCCTTTCAGCCATGTGCCAAAACAAGTAAAGCCTTTGATCTGAGGCAGGAGAGAAACTCTCTCCCACCAACCCCCTGCCACATTTATGTGACAAATTAGAAGGAGAAATGTGTTTTTCAAGGGTCCTGTGCCAAACAGCAAGGATTATGCATGGGTTTACATGACAAAAGGACGAAAAGGTGAGTAGAAGGATAGCAGCACTTAATGGGAAGGTGCAAAGAGAAGCAGAAAATGTCTGGCTTGGGGCTGATTGACAGATGGAGGAGCACCCCAAAAGAACTCAAGCCTTGCAGACAACAGAAGCCCACCCCCCCCAAAAAAACTGGGAACTGTAGTTTGCAAAGGGTACTGGGAATGGTTAGAACTATTTCACTGGCTACTAGTTTGATTCTGGGCACAATTCAAAGTGTTGTTTATAACACCCTATACATGCCCTCCAACATGTCTCCAATGAAAATTGGGACACCCCACGCCATAATGATAATTTTACTATTTATACCCCGCACATCTTACTGGTTTGCCCCAGCCACTCTGGGCAGCTTCCAACATATATAAAAACATAATATTTTTTTTTAAAAAAATCTTCCGTATACAGTAGTACCTCGGGTTAAGAACTTAATTCGTTCTGGAGGTCCGTTCTTAACCTGAAACTGTTCTTAAGCTGAGGTACTACTTTAGCTAATGGAGCCTCCCGCTGCCGACGTGCGATTTCTGTTCTCATCCTGAAGCAAAGTTCTTAACCTGAGGTACTATTTCTGGGTTAGCGGAGTCTGTAACCTGAAGCGTCTGTAACCCGAAGTACCACTGTACAGGATTGCCTTCAGATGGCTCAGGAGTTGGATAACTCTATACACTTCAACATTTATCCAATGAAAATAGGGATGTACTAAGAAAAAGTGGGACATTCCGGGATCAAATCGGAAACCAGGATAGCTTCACTAAATCAGGGACATCCCTGGAAAATAGGGACACCTGGAGGGCCTGCCTATATGGTTTAAGCCCTATATGATCTCCCTGTGCCCACCTTGCCTCGTGTAAGCACCTTTACCTGTTGGTCCCATCAACATCAGAAGCATGGCTGGCTTGGTGGTGACATGAGAGAGAGCGCCTTTTTTGTGGCTGCTCACATGTCATGGAATCCCCTTCCAAGAGAGGTTAGACTGGCTCCTTCTTTGTTATCCTTCTGCAGACTAAGACCTTCCTGCATAGATAGGCCTTTGAAAACTGTTGGGGCAAACTCTTGGTTTTAATTCTCGGTTCTAAATGTGTAGATGAAGATACAGAAAACACACACACACACAAAAACCAAAACCACGGAGTCTAAAGAATAAAAAAAAAGTAGAAATCATTCAAAG